GCAATGAATAGGAATGTATCAGAGCAGATGTATCTCTGCTTCCCCTTGCCACCCCCTTCATCCCTCCCAACGGCTGCAGGAATCTCTTTTAGATTTAGAGACAAACAATTTTGAGATGAGTGTTTGTTCAAGATCCAACTTGCCTAAACCTTTCCTTTTGGAAGGATGTGTCCGTGAAAAGAGACCGTTGCAACTCAAGACAATAAAAAGGAACTTTTAAGTCTGAATCTGATGCAAAATCTTTAGACAAGCTTGTGTCTGTCTTCACCTCTGTTTCCACTTTGGAAAACGTCAGCCTGTTGTTACAAGCAGTCATCTTCATGTTTCTGTACATGGGAAAACACAACCTCGAACACCGTTACTGTTTCATTTGCTAACCTTTTTTTTAATGTGGAACTTTTGTTTAAACAAAAGATTATAGAAGTTTTATTACTTAGTAATAAAATCAAGTCAGTGAGTCTCTCTTATCGTCTAATGACCTAGTATTTGCAGTAGATACTGTATCAGCTTTCTGTTAAAATATATATATTTTAAAAAATCATTAGCTACCTTTTTGGGTAAAATGACAATCAGCTCTATCCTCATCTATACACAGGCTTCTCAAAAAAAGTTTGGTTTTTTTCTAATTCTCCGGTTTATATCCAGACGTATTTAACAGGGAACACGAAATACTTGGTTTCTCTTTGATTTCAAGTTTCATTGCTGGCCTTCTGCCAGTAACAGGACTGGTAGAGAGCATGAACTGAACGCCAAGCCTGGAATACAAACAAAGGAGGATCTGCTGAAAGTCCTTGTTTCTTCTTGTTTGCTTTTATTATGTCAACGATTAGGAAGAGGGAAACATAGATGTTGTCTGGGTCAAGCTGAACCACAGCCCAAGGACAGAACCCTTTCAAAATATTATTGGGAAGGCTGAATATCCTCCCGATTGTTGCTTGGGTTGTTGGAGTCTGCTGTTGGATACCAGTCTTTGGTAAATCCACCAAAGAACACTGCAGAGTTGTTTTGTTCAAATGACCAGAGAAGATTTGAACATTCAGAGTTGAAAGGTTATGCTGTACTGAAAGCTATCTCTTGGCTTCAGTCATTCTCTTTTCCTTCTGCAACTGCTCCATTTTCAAGTTCATATGTGTAATATCTCATCTGCTATCAAATTCTTAGACACAAACCCTTCATGTTCTTCCAGATTTGTATTTCTGATAGTGGAGCCATTCTGTACCATGGCAAGAGTCCTGCTACTTAGGCTACATCAAGACTTTCACAGTCTGTTAAGTGATCTTCACAGTTATATATTCAGTAAAATGCCTAAGTGTGCAGCAGTTCCTAGTGAAGAATCGAAGTTTATGAAAGGTTTTGCATCATCTACCGTAATTGTTCCTGTGAAACTAATATAATTGATTTTTACTTATTGTAATTTCCTGTTGTGGGGAATTGGTGTTAAGGTTTGGAGTTTTAATTTTTATTAGTATTATTATTATTTTAAGTAGTTTTCTGTGCATAAGTATTGGAACTCCTTCTTTTCCATGTGCTAGTGATGTACTGGTGTGAGGTGTGGGAAACTGGGAGAGTGTTGGCAGCATACATACTCAAGAGGAGCCTGGGTGATTTGCTTTGGGGATCCTGGTGCAACTTGATGGTTCTGCTTTTGAATGCAGACTTAACGCTTTGTGATGGAAATCCAAGCAACACACAATACCATGAGAAGAGAAGAGATGCATCATTTTCAGGACTTGAGTGCATTTTGATGCTCCTGTCCCCTAACAGCTTCAGCAGTTAACCACTAGCTGTGTTCAAATAGAGATGCACTATACAAATGCATCGACCTTGTTCTGCATTGTCAGCCTCCTTTGCTTCAAAGGGGAGGCTGTTTCTGGATTCAGTTGAAATGAGAGATCTGTAGCCATCCCCAGATTACCTCTAGGAGACACTTGTTTCGGGTCCCAGTCATTTCCTTCACTGAGATGATGCAGATTTTCACTACCCTGCTGACAGTCTCTGAGTTTTGCCGTTCCTGTGCCCTCTGGCTGTCCGAGTACCTAAGCCTGTAAATGGAGAAGAGCTGGCAGATAGTATCTGAAATAGGTTTGAGGCCAAGAAATTTCCTTGTTTTATAAAGAAACCTCATGTTCAGGCTCCTCTGTGTGTGTGTGTGAAGGGGCTGTTGCCTTACACTCAGTGCTGTTCTCGACATTAGAGTAGTTTGTTAAAGTCTTCCAGACTCTAAATGACTGCTGGAAAACAGCCCCCACCTCCTTCATCTTCATCGGTTATTACATGTTTGCCTTACAGAGCTTTTTGGAGGCTCCTTAAGGCAAGAGGATGAGAAATCAGTCACTGGAAAGTCAGCTGAGATGCTCACTTCTCTTGACGCATTGCCTGGTGTAGAATGGCCTCGGGATCATGCCTTCATTCCCGTTAAACTTTGTTATGTTGTGTCAAGCTTACTGCTTGGATGATCTTTTAATATGGTTTAGAGCTATTATAATTATAAATAAAGCACTGTGACGTTCCTTACAGAAAACATAAAAAAGCAAGGCTCCGCTTGGAAATACCTACATGAGCAAAAATAACAAGTGGAACACACCTAACCCAGGGAAGTGAGGCTAATCCTCCATGCCAAGGGGAGCATCAGGGAGATTTGGGAAGCTGCACAAGGAGCTAGGAGAGGGAAAAATCATTCCTTCTGTGGAGGGGAATGACGGGGATGTAGGCCACAGGAGGACGACTGTGTGTGTGAGGGGAAGGATTAGTATGTACAGAGTAGGGGCTGGGCGAGGATGGGAGGATGGGGAGCTTGAATTCATTGTGGAGACAGAGACCAGTCGAGGCAGAGAGGTGGTCGCTACCATGTGAGAGCTGGTACAAGCTGGTACAAGCATCAGAAACGCCACAGGAGGCTTGGTGTCAGATCTCTGCTGGGGTCAGGTTTTGGAGCTGTGGCTTTTTCAGTGTGGTTACCCTGTGCACTTACCCACCAGGGTATGGGCTGGCTGTAACGTGCTCATCCTCTCAGTGGGCTCATGAAGGTGCGCACTGTGGTAGCTCCCTATTTTTTTAAGCTGAGACATAGAAGGACTAAAAGAGCTGTCTTGTTTTGCTTTAGATATGTTGAGATACGAAGTACAGTTTCATCATCAGCAAGTTTAAGATAATCACTAATCACTGGATCTTCTTACCTCCACAAGGTGTCTTTTATCTGCTGCGTAAAAGGGCTTGTGTGCGTAGACACACGTAGGTATTTAAGATGCATTAAGTAACAAGTTACTCTATCTCTTAAAAAAAATAAATAATCTTTTGTATTTGAAAGCTGACTGCTCTGCTTGAGTACTCTGGAACTACTAGTGGCAGGAGACTCGTGGAAACTGTTGTATGTGTGTTCTGGGTATTAATGACTTGAAATGAACCCAGCTTCTGCTCCAGTGAGGCAAAGAGGCTTTTTATCCAGGCCACGCTGCAAGGGTGAGACAACAGCTGGGCCTGACGGTCTTGATGACTGACTGTGCAAAAGGCTCTGTCCTTTACTTTTCCAAAGTGGCAGCAAGGTTGAGCATGTCTTTGGGGAATCCACTCTTTGCGTTCTGCAGGGATTATTAAATACGTCAGACGCAGGTATTGCCACTGCAGGGTGCCTCATGCCCCGTGAAGGAGAGCTGCTTGTGTGCTGTGGGTGATGCAGTGGGTTCATTAAACCCCAATGTTGTATCCTCTTAGCCTCAAAAGAATAATCCCCTTCTAGCAAGCCATCAGTTCAGACTGTGTAGTCAGCAGAAAGCCACAGTTTGCCAGTGCTAGGAGGAAGCGGGGAAGGAAGTGTGCTTCCCCAGTCAGTGTCTGGAGAGAAATCACTTGCTGGGATCACATTTGCCATTCCTTTCTCTCCAGCTCAGTATTCAACAGAGTGCATTTCCTGAGGCCAGCTCATCATACTCCTAAGTGTCTTTAGAAGTATGTTTTGTTCTCTGAAGTAACCATCTTAGGACTTCACGGAAGTCCATTGCTTGCAGGAGCATTTACCATGTATTTGCATGAATGGATTTAAAGAAATAAGTGGAAACATAAAGATGGCTTTGGGAAGTTGGTTAAAACAAAGGCAGATGCTAAGTTTGAAATGTTTGTCTGGTTTAGGATAGGATGAGATGAACGCTTGTTTATCCCATTGACTTTATGGGGCCAGTTGGGGAAATGATGAAGGAACTCGGCTTCTCTTCTGAGAAACAGAGGGAAGCTTTGTTGGGTTCGCCAGGGCGATACCTGGCAACTGTGTCTGTGTTCATGGCCGAGATGCAGTAGTGCAGTCATGACCTCAGGGAATGGGGAATTGAGTTCCAGAGATGAAGATCTTTGAGAACTTTAACTTTGCTTTGTTCTTGTAGTCAGGAGAGGAGAATATGAACTTAGAGAAGGAACAAGATAGATGCTTTCAAAACTCAATGAAGATACAGTGAAGCAGCAAACTCTTCAGCTCTGGCAAAAAAATTTGCCAAAACCCCCTTATCAGTCAGAGGACAGCAATAATAACAACATTAAAGAACCCAGATTTATTTCTGAGCTTAGTTCAGACAGTTGTGATGTTCATGTGCAGTAACAGAATGTAAGGCTGACCCCAAGATAGCAGTGTGTCATCTTTCTTCTCCTAATTGCATTTCTCAGCCCTGCTCACAGCTGTTACTGTGGCACTTTGCCACTGGCTCCCTTCTGAGTTGATGCGGTTGCAGCACAGGTTTCGCTGCTGATGGTGAGTCCACAGGAGAAATTTGTCATCCTAAAACAGTTAGCTGTCAGGGTTGTGTTTGTTCCAAATGCCATTGTCTGGACTGTCTGGTGACTTCCTGTGTTGCCAATGTCCATTTGCCTTCCCTTGAAGAGAAGCTGGACACTGAGGTTTTCAACATCATTTATTGTCTTCCCCACCTCATTATTTTTCCACACTCTACAGCCAGCCTAATTCCCTTTTTTTTTTTTTCTTTTTTTTTTTTCCCCCCTATGTATTTGTTTTGCAGGAGTATATTGATGCTCATCCAGAAACCATTATCCTGGACCCTCTTCCGGCAATTCGTACACTTCTGGACCGATCCAAGTCTTACGAGCTAATTCGGCAGATAGAGGCGTACATGCAAGGTAGGACAATACCTGCTCTTCCTGAAGGCTTTTATTGTGACTAGAGAAGGAAGCAGCTGGCTTCAGGAGGCTGGGTATGAGGTTTGAAGTAGTGGTTTGGGGCCCTTCAAATTGTGTCTCTCCATGGGAGAACAAACACAAGCATTCCTGTGTCACAATATTGCCCTTCGGAATCCCATGCTCTTTTTTTTTTTCCATATACACAAAGGAGGTTTGCATTTGGTTGAAAATACGATGTGGGTTTAATGGGGAGCATATTTACTACAGCAAGCACTCCCAGAAATCTTCTGGAAAACATTGTCTTTTTGTGCGTGCTGGTAAATTGAAAGGACTGTATGAACTTTGCAACTTGCCATAAGAATCCTGAGGCCTGAATTTGGAGGGGACTTATGGAGAAAGAAGAAAAATTGGTTTTGAAAAGGACTGAAAGAACTTTAATTGTAAATAGAGCTAAGATCTTTGAAGCACTGGAAGCCTATTGCACAGGTTAATTACTAGGAGGAACATAAATGCACTTCTGGTGTTGGCTTGTTACCTGACATAGACTGTTGCCCTTAATTGACATCACTGGAGTTGTATTCCCGTGTTTAGAAGTCATGCCTTTTCAACCTGAATAAGTCTAGTATCTTATCGTTTTAACCATTGCAACTGTTGGGTTGAGTCAGTCTCTCATTCGCTTTCTACTGCTGTTACTGTCATGTTCTTGAAACATTTATTGGCTTTTGAGTTTAAATCTAGAGTAGCTCTTGAAGTAGCAGTTTGATATGTTAGCTGACTACACTTGGGGGAAGTAGTGTTGCTGATCTCTGTTCTAACGGGGCGTTGTTGGAATTACTGCTGTGATTGTGTTATCATTGTCTTGATGGGCAGATAAGAAGCTCGTCAATTAACATTTTATAATTGTGGATTTATAGACATCCTGTTTGCATCTGACCTGCCTGACCTCATTGGCAATGTCTTTATGTGAAAATAACACTAATAATTCGCAGCACTCTCCCATGTCTTTTGCAATCTCTTTAGGAGAAAATGTTTGATTAGCCTAAAAGGATTTTGGTCTGTAGTGGTTATTACTGTTTATGAGTGGGGGAGAGGTGCTGAGGGAAGCCTGTACTCTGAGGAAGTGGTTGGGATTTTGTTCTAGCAGCGGAGAGATTCAGTAGGGGGTTGGGTTTTTTTAAGTTGCTATCAGTATTATTATTGTTATCTCTATGAGAAGAATATGTTTGGGAGAGCATCCAGTTTTTGCAAGAAGTTTGTCTTGCGCATATTTTGGTGCTCTCTGCTCAAACTGATGAGACAAAGGAATAAATCTTTAATGAGGAAAAAGAAAAAAATGGGTTTGTATTCAGTTAAAACCAACACTTTAAAGAGAAGCTGTTACTAAAGTTGAGGAATGAGGTGAGGAAAAGCCTCACCTGTTCTCACTGGCCGCTGCAGTGTTAGGTCACCATATTTTTCCCTGTGTCCTCCTGCATGCCCTCTCCTCTGTCTCATCTTATTTCTGTCTCATCATCACAAATATCATGACAGAGACCTTGAACCAACTTTGTATTTAGCAGGGGAAATCTCAGGAGAGCTGAGTAATTGGCTAACTTCTCATTCTGGCCCAACTACATTAGCCTCTGTTCCCGCACATAATGATCTGCAGTGAGAAATTCAGGAGACCAAAAAAGTTATATCCCTCTAGACAGTGTGGTGGGTTTTTTCCCCCTCCTTGTTTTCATCTGCTAAATTGTATTTTCTACTTTGCAGCTGTCATGTCATATCCCAAGGCCATGAGCACTTAGAAAAACTCGGGAAGTAATACGTCTGTGAATAGCATGAGGTCTTAAGAGCCACATCTTCTTTGTTCTGGAATTTCAAAATGGAAATCACTACCAAGTTAATAATGTCCTAGTCTGTAGCTGTAAGTAGAGAGCCCAGTTTATCACAGGATACAAAATTGATGTGATGGGTTACGTTCAGTGCAAGGGTTTCTCTCTTCCAAAAGAATGCCATAAACTATGGCGGGTTGAGTATGTGCGAAAGGAGAAATTTTCTGCTTTTGAAAGGCTTTCAAAAGAAAATTCAGTGTTTGTTTACAGACTAGTTTTGGATTCAGGTGATAAATATGTCTATTTGAATTATGTTTTAAAGTAACTATAAATGAAATACAGTCTTTATTATGATATTCAGTTCACACTTCATTTCAACCCTGAAGACCTTACAAGATCTATATAGCTAAATAGTTGCACCAGTTGGGTTAAAGAGAGGACGCCCACATACTCTGCTGACTCCAGTTTGTATGGTGCTGTACAAGCATGGGGTTAAACCTGGACTTTCCATGCCCTAAACTGATGCTGTAATCACTCAGTTCTTGTGGAAGTACAAGGGTCGCAAATTTGCAGAATCATTGAGGTTGGAACAGACCTCTTGAGGTCATGTAGTCAAACTTCCTACTCGAAGCAATATCCTCTAGAGTAGGTTCCTCAGGTCCATGTGTAGTTGGGTTTTGTATATTTCCATGGATAGAAACTGTACGACCTCTTTGGGCAACCTGCTCCAGGATTCACCTTGAACCTGCTGTGCTAGCGTGCAATTAGCAGTTGCAGTGACTGGCAGAGACTGTTATTTTCTTTAGTATGTACAGTGATATCTCCTTGGAAGGAAGCAGGACTCTCTTTTTGCGAGAGGGTGGGGGAAGGGGGGTCTAAGAGATATTTTAGCATTGATTTTAATGGATTTTTGGTTTTTTTGGAAGCAATACTCTGGCAAGGGCTGTGACTTCCTCTTTTTCCTGTTCTCCATTATTTCAAGTGAAAGCTCTAAAAGAGCTAGTTATCTGAAACCTTCACTGCTGAGTCTTTTTAAAAAGACTTGAAAAAATAAAGTTTGCATTCCCAACTTGTGTCCCACATAGCTGGCAGGTCTATCTTGAAATAAATCACTGAATAGATTATTTTGTTATAGCAGTTCTCAGCAGTTGTATTGCTTTGTTTACTTACCTACGAAGAATTGCTTTTGATATAAAAGTGCTCTAGATCAGATTTTGTAATGCATGGTGAAAGATTAGGAGCATTATTTAATGAAAATTTCATTTTTAGCAGGGTATTGTATGGTTGAAGCTGTGTCAGCCTTTTTTAAGCTTTAACCTCGTGAAAAATAGCTAAATTCTCTGATGTCATCTTGAAAAGCTGTGCTTATACAGCCTCAGAATTTGAAATCTGACTTCTTAAATTATGCTTAAGATGGTAATAGATAATCACTGTGACTAGTCACTAACTAATCTTTTTACATTATATTTTAAGTCTGAAGATTAAAAGCTTTTAAAATTCCCTACATATCTTACAAGTAATAATCTAAACTGAACTTCAGGTATTTCAGACTCTGACATTCATTTCTTTAAATGCTTCCACCTGGCTTTTTTCCATTATTTTGAATTTTTTTTGTTCTTAGATTCTTAAATTTAACTCCAAATCTAAAATTTCTTCAAAAACTAGTCTTTGTGGGCTTCCCATAGAAGAGAGAACTCCTGCGTGAGCCAAGCTGCGGCTCCTGAATTTCTCACTTTTTTGAAGTATGTGAACTATTCCCTCAGGACACTCAAACAGTATAAAACCCTTTAGATGTGATATTTTTATCCTAGCATGTAATCAAAACTATTTATGTTTGATTGTTTGCTATTATATGAGATGCTGTTGCTGCTGTGTGCGCTCCTTTCTGATTTTGGGGGATGTTACGGAACAGATGACGGCACCCTTCTCTTTTCCCTGGATTTCTTTTTATCAAGTTCTGTCTGCCTGTCTTAGAAATACTCTTTGAACAGCTGCATGTGTCTTTTGTGACTAAAAGAGAGGCTCGGCATGCTGTAAGGGCTCAGGCACTTGATTTGGGGCTCTGGGTTTTTCTGCTTTGTGCTGGTTCTGACTTGCTGCATAACCTTGGGTACATCATGTCACCCCCGTGTGTCTCTTTCTTCTTTTGACACTCATCTGCCAGCCCCTTCCCTTCAGATGCCACATTTTTCCAAGCAGGAACCTCTTTTCCAAATATATGTACAGGCACTCTTATATAGTGAATCTCTGATGCCAAGCAATCTGCATAGGTGGCGTGGTGAAATTGTAGCTGTATTGTTGAGTAGAAAACTAGATATTTCTAATTAATCGCCAAAGTAGGTAGTCTGGTTATAGTTTTTGGAAGTTGTGGAGAATATACATTGCAGGATTGGTGTATATTCAGAATTTCTCAAAATCAGGCCACCCAGTTAAAGCGCCTGAAAATAGCTTTATAAGCATAGCTCTAGGCATTCACCTTTTGAAACTGTGGCCACTACTATCTGTGGCCTATTTTTCATAGCAGTTTTTGTCAGAGGGGAGGGAGAAGAATTGTCCCACAGGTCAACTTCAGGCACCTCTATCTGTATTTGAAGCTCCTATTAAAATAAAAGGAAAAATCTGGTTTTAATTTAAAGGCTTGAAATCACCCATCTGAGCCTCATTTGTTTATGTAGGGACATACCCATAAAGCATCTAAGTGAGAGAGCTGATGTTAGCTACTGGAAATAACCACCACTTTTTGGATGCAGAAGTCTCCCTTGTTGATTGTATGCTGTCTCCACCACGGACGCGTGCAAACAGATGTCTCATTACCTCGCTCCAAGCACGGTGCACGTTCACTCATTGCATTTTAATTTCTGGCTGAAGCTAATGTGCAAGCGTGGAGGGAAGGGACTGGAAGGGATTGGGATGGAATTAATGTTCTCTGTGACTGGAAGGAAGGGCTGTGTCCAGGTGGTGGTGTGCTGCATCCCAGCTGCCAGCACTCAGGAGGTCTCAGCCCTGCTCTGGCAAACTGGAAAGGCTCTGGGACTTTTGACCCAGGGAGGTGTCACCCAACATCTTTCTCCTCATGCTCATTCATGCATCTAGGAGGGGGTTGACAAAGGGGCGTGGGTATGTTGGTATGGCAATAAACAAGCCCTGGCTTTGAAATTTAGAGTAGAGAGCTGCTTCCAAAGGGCT